ATTTCCGTTTGAAACAATTCGCGTATTACTTCAACATAATAAATTCGTATATCCTACTATATATAATCGGCTAACGGTGTGTGTGTGTGTGTGTGTGTGTGTGTGTGTGTGTGTGTGTGTGTGTGTGTGTGTGTGTGTGTGTGTGTGTGTGTGTGTGTGTGTGTGTGTGTGTGTGTATGTGTTTGTCTGTCTGACCGGAAATTCATAGCTCGGGCACCAGTGGTCGTCAGGAGTTGGTTTCAAGATATGATATAGGGGGTGGGACGGGAACATATTTGGTGGGGTACAGAAAGTGATAACAACTGATAAGGGCTGATAAAAGGCGCTAGAACGCAAGTGTCGCGAAATTCATAGTGCGCTTCGCAGCAGTCGTCAGGAGCTGGTTTTTGGGCATGATATAGGGGGTGGGACGGGAACATATTTGGTGGGGGTCACAAAGTGATTTGTCTGTCTGACCGGAAATTCATAGCTCGGGCACCAGTGGTCGTCAGGAGTTGGTTTCAAGATATGATATAGGGGGTGGGACGGGAACATATTTGGGGGTACAGAAAGTGATAACAACTGATAAGGGCTGATAAAAGGCGCTAGAACACAAATTTCACGAAATTCATAGTGCGCTTCGCAGCAGTCGTCAGGAGCTGATTTTGGGACATGATATAGGGGGTGGGACGCAAACATATTTGGTGGGGGTCAAAAAGTGATAACGACTGATGAGGACTGATAGTAACGATATGCATTTGAACGTAGAGAGCACTTGAAATAGAAAATAGAGAGCAGATTGTAGATAATGCCTTTCATTTCAATATCATTTCATCAGCGTTGTAATTGTAAACTCAAACACCTTTCGACCGCTACACCTTCTAGAGTTCTTGAGGATGAATGGGATGCTCGAATAAATATGATAATGAATACTGGGCATTCCGTTTTGAGATATTCGACCGCTAAATTACCTCGATACTCGACGCATAGTGGTTGTTTACATCATCACTTTAGCTGTGCACTTCACTGCGCTTATCAAACAGTGAGATACAGCCAAGATGGGCAGCCTATGCAACGGACAGTAATACATTTAACGAAGCAGCTATAATTTAGCGGTGAAACCTAAAGCTTCATCGATTGTCAGTTCTAATGCGCGCGGTAGCGGGCGGAGCTAAACTGGTGCTTACATTATAAAGGCAAAAGAGAAAATATCGGATGATGAGAAGAAAATATGAAGAGAGAAATCAACGTACAGCTCCAGAGTGTTCAGCCAGAGCTGTCTTCGGCTCCCCCTTTTTGCATCCGTACCCGTTTTCTCGTCAGCTCATCCATGCAGTCCTCCTCGAAGTCATGCAATTCCCGTAACTCTTCCGCGCTCAGGTATAACCCTGCAGGTACCGAGTTTTCTGTCTCTTATTAGTCAACAACTCTCTTCTTTATTTCTTATTATGAATAATTACTATAATAATTTCTACGCAAGCGCCATGCATGCAAATAGGGTGGCCCTGATCACTTTTGGAGAATTTGACATAAGCAAGTTGAGCGGAACTGGCTTGCACGTTCTTTGCCCCGTGGAAATATTCCAAACCAATCCCTATAATGATCAAGAAAATAAAGAACACCGTTACTGTAGAGAAGAGAGAAGACAAGGTAATACAACTCTACCCACACACTTGGGGTTCCTGTATGTAGAGGACGCAGCGATCCATAAACGGCTTCGTAAAGCTTTCAGAAACTCACAGAATGTTTCTAAATTTCTACATCTTCCCCAAACTGTTCCTTCTAAGAAATTCTCAAACTTCAATTGACATTTTTATTCTTTGCCGAAATATTTCAATGGTCAAAGTGGTGATCCGATGCGCTGAAACTCCGCTTCCCACACAATGTATGACCCTGTCCCACGTCGAGGAACCAATAGAGTTTGCTAGCCCTAGTGAGAATTGTTAAGAAATACACCGTCTTGTAATTTTTTATTTTCAGTGGGACTAATCGTAAAAGTTATGAGCGCGGGCATCCCCTCCACGCGAGAAATAGCAAACAACAGAAGTTTCAATTTTCATGGTCGCCAGATCAATATGAACAGGGGGGGGGGGCAAAAAAAAGAGTCACTCCTACTCACATTCAAAACAGAATTAATTACACTTTGCCAAAACCAAACCGAATGAGCTCAATTGCATATTGAAGAGCACATTCTATTCTATCAAAAACATTGCATAGTGGCCTTCTAAACCGACGACACCAGAAGATTTTCCCACGGAAACATGGTTCGCGGTACGAGCTCAACGGGGTCGTCGAGAAACCATAGATGATTACGACGTCTCTGAAACGCTGGTCAAAAGCCATTTTGCATAGTCAGAGCTAGTGTCTCTAAGAAGTCATTCACCAGTTATCCGATTGAAGAATTTATGTAGCAGCTTCAGAATGGAGCGATTATTGTAGGCCTCCTTAAGCTCGACGGTGATGACAGATGACGTCATATTCTGGAGACGGTGAACGCAGCGAAGGTGGGCCTGATTCTGCTTATGGGGGGACATCTAAGGAATAATTTGCCGTATAACTCCCAATAACAGCGACATCCTCTTTGCGACGAAAGTTTGATGATATGCGCGCCATAGGCAAAGTGACTCTCTTTTTTTTGGCCCCCCCTGGTACAGTCATCCAGGCCGAGGATCCTATTCGGTCGGTACTGAGGGTCTTCAAGGCCTATTTCTTCTGCGCAATCATTACTTCCCATGACCTACGAGTCCTATAGTAGAGCGAATTTGTGGGAGTTGCGAATGCTGGATTCATTAAAGAAGTGAAAACCAACTCATAGAACATTTCGCGACGACATCATCTCGCTCTTTACCGGTCTTCAACGGCTTTTTCTGAAAAATTTCGGAACTACATAGTTACCAAAATGAGCTCGAATAAATAGTACACTTAAGTATTTCTGGAAATAATGACATAAACTCGTCAAATTCAAACCTTTGAAAAGAAACAAAGAAGGCGCGTAATATAGGCCAATATCGTAAATGGAGGTGGAAGTAATGGTGTGTCATTGTATTCCATCTCCTATAATTCCAAAATTTCTGCCGTATTCTTCTATCTGTCCTGTCTGTAATCACGTACCTGCCCGTAGCGCTGGAACAGCCATACTTCGTGTGAGCGGATATTGGTATCGTTGAAAATATTGCTAAAATACGCACACTTTCTTCATGTCAAACGAGCCATGTACGGTGTAAATATTCGTTCAGCTTTGATCAAAGCAAGTCGGCTAGCTAGCGGTCAATGGCAGCTACGGGGCCCTACACGTCTATTGCCGTATCTTGGCCACTGTGGTATTTTCCGAAAAAATTCAGCTCTTGTGTATAAATGGCTTGCTCTCTTAATACCATGCTGGCCAAATTTGAGGGCAGCTAGGTGAACGGGGCGCTAATTATGCATTTAATAGATAACATTGAAAGGTCCTACTTGAAAATAGCGATGAGCATATTGATCAGCAGAATATTTGCCACCAACAGGAAGATTGTCATCAACACAGGCGGGATCCATCCACCAGGTACACAGTTTGTCCCTAAAATCACATATGGTTCTCGTGCATTACCGTAATCCCCTCATCCACATGGGTACAACCACAAGACACATGCGATCAACAGCATTGAAAAAATCACAAAATCACAGTGCTATCACCTTCGGACGTCCCACCCTTTCTGAACGCTTTCCATGCTAAATTGTAAAGGAAAATGGCAAAAACTAAAGCGATAATATCAATAGTTGGAGAAAATCGATATATCAATTCGTAGCGAACTAAAGGACAACTTTCGAAAGGGAAATGACTTGCCTTCATCTCCACACGTATCGATTTCTCCGGCGTATACTTCACCGTATAACATGAAATATGGCTTGTAGAAGATGTTCCTGAAAAAAAACGTCTGCAGAAGATACTCCTAAAAAATCATCTGAAAAGATTGATGTAAATTTCGGCGGAAACTACAAACTGTAGATAAGGCAGCACTACAGTTTTCAGAGGTCGTACACCGAAGTGTAAATGCTTTACAGCCCTGCTTGCCACCGGCCCAGTCCGCCTCAAAAGAACTTGGTGGGCTTGAAACGCGCCCCAAGCTCACTTGCTGGATTTCAGGAGTTAAATTCCCATACAACTGACCTCGGAATCAGCAGCCAGTTTTACATCCATTTACATGATTGGATTGAAATAGAACAAATGCACCTTACTCTACAATCTAGGAGCAGTCTCTCCCTAGCCAGTCGTCAACCAGATCCGCGTCATCGTTTCTGATTAATTACATCAGTACACCAATCCCCCCTTTGGGGATCTGATGCGACCTCCACTACCACTGCCACCACATACCGCCTGGGTCTATAATACATATGCGCATCCCTCCATCCCTGCTCACTGTTTCGCTCTGCTTTCTTGAAGTTTTCATGTAAACTCTTCAAGAAAAAACATCAAAAATCACCCTCCTCTTCAGAACCTGACCCCTAAACTTCCACAAATACAACCTCCCCGTTCGCACTTTTCTCAAATATGATTGACTTGCTCAGCCCCAGACGCCTCGTTAGAGTAGTCCGAATAGACGGCTGACCCAGCTTCCAGGCCCAGTTGCAGAGAATTTAGAGATCAGCTTACCTGACAAGGAGCCAGTTCCACTTCTCGTGTGGGTAAGTGATCGCCTGTCGAGAAACACCGAAAGCCATCAATGTCACCAGAAGGAGGACGATGATGTAGCACATTGATATGACCATTTTGGCTGCCATTTGGATGTACGGACCAAGCAGTGGGTGAACAGAAAGGTATTCAAGCACTGAAGCAACCTAAGACTGAGTACTAAGTACTGAGAGAAACTGCGATATGATGTATGAGGGATACGTCGCTGTACGAAAGGACATGGATCCATTAGCTTCTTCGATGATTACCAAGCAAGTAAGAAATCAGTAATCAGAGTTAATTAAATATGCTCAAAAAATCGATTGTTGAGAAGGTCGATAAGAACAAATCAATAACAATAATAATGTAATGAGAGCTTACCTTCATGTACCACAACACATTACTGCATGACAGTATGACACGACCATATGAGTGTCTCATCGAAGGTTGCATACGAAATCCAAACCCGACCAGAAATAGCAGCAAAGCTGTGGCAGTCAAGAGGTTATAATATCTGAATAAATAAAATATAATGTCCAAAAGAGCACCAATGGCCCAAATCAGTTCCTTCAAAATTTCCGACTTATTTTAGCAAGGGTTTAGCAAACACAAGCATAGCCGATAAATTCCGTCTGTTTCGCAGTGACATAACCCAAAACCGATATTGATCACAAAATTCACAAAATTTTGCACACATTGGCCATGTGGGGATAAAGCAGTTGAGATAACATTCACAAAAAATAAATTAAGAGGAAATGAAAGAAAATTTACTTTGTGTAGAATACACGGCACTTCTCCCTGAGTTTAGGCGTTTCCTGATCGAAGAGCTGAAACAGAGTCGATAAAAGAGCTGCTATAGGTATATGGCGAAAGGACAATGGGCACTAAAGCGACAAACAGGCGAGAGAGCATGGGACCAAGGGAGGCGCAGATAGCTCCCTTCGACTCCAGCAAAAAGTCAGAACATTCAGCGTGATGAATCGCCGTTGGGTGTCTCTTCTACACTATATCTGGCTATACAATGACTTGTGAATGCCATCCGATTACATGTTAGTAGTCTTACCCTTTCAAAGGCTGATACCAAATAATCGACCCCGAAGGGATGAGGTAGTGGAGCGTGCGATTCAAGATTTGGCCCCTGGACTGAGCTCGTGCCATGCAGCGCTACCTTCCGCTTCACCACTTCTGTCCCGAGTAGAAAGAGGGAGCACACTTACCTTACGAATATGTTCTACAGTGTAGACGACAATATAAGCCAATGTGGCGTACTCGATGTTGGTGGGATTCACCGGCGTCTCAATAAGAAGCACATAAGACGATAACATGAGGAATATAACAAATGCTATACACCACGACCAAAATTTGGTGATCGGGGCCGAATAGAAGGCACGCATCTTCGCCATTGCTGACAGCGATTGCGACTAAATATGAAAATAATTCTTTCGATAGGAAGAAAGTGGAAGCATACTCTGTTCCCTGCAGCTGGGTCTACCGTTATTGCAGACATAGTGACAAACGTGACACTAGATATCATCAAAAGGATCAGAAATCACA